GTTTGAAACTACGTACGTACGTACGTCAATTTTAAATTGACGGAAATTTGAAAGTGACGTCTAACAAATATACGTACAGTACAAAAGAATTTATCACTGAGTCTACAGCTGAGTCTACACTGTCAACGGGACAGCCTTTGGACAAAGTTTGGACATCTTGGACATTTTTAGATATCAGATATTAAACTTGCTCAAAATTTTATTAAAATAATCTATTTCAAATTTCTAAGTAAAAATGTTTAGAATTAAACAAAATATATAATCACGTTTTTTTTAAAATAGATTTTTTAATTATCAAAGCTTTGGACACTTGGACGTTGGACATGTCAAAAAAGGTACATCCCTGCCGGTATAAACTCACCAGTCACATGATTATAATTCAATATAATTGGCTAAATAATATACAATATTATTACACAGAACCAATTCGAATTTATCAGACTCTATGACTATATAATATATCGAGTTTAGATTATGGGTTGACCAATTTTTTTATCAGTTATGGGAAGTTAATCGGTTTTGGCAGTATCGAGTAAACTGTATGCTTAAAGAATAGATAGATACGAGTAAAGTGGGTAAATGTAATATTTATTACTAATAAACCCGAACTCATTCAAGAACCTACAATGAATGAACAAACTTTAATTTATGGTTGACAAACCCAAATACAATATCGACAAAATTTAACGGACTAAAAAGCTTTTACCTATTCAAATTAAAAGTTAGAATAGAATCTAACGTAATAAAGTAGTCTTAGACGAAAGCATTTCCAGTTACCTTCACTCTATACTATAACTTTGTACGGTTCAATTGACGGTGGTATATTTTATCTTCGAGGCAAAATCCACCAGGAGTAAGAACTTTTTTGAGATTCTTTTATTGACAGTGTTTTAAAACTACAAGTGGCTTTTTATTAGTGAAATGTTCTGTTCTAAAAAAGTGCTTTAAAACATATAAATAAGTTACCCGGGCAATTTTATTTGTACCATTCAATTAAATGAATGTCCCCTATTTGACCTGAACTCACATTACAGCATTAGCTGATTATATTAATCTTTGCCAAAAAATATCACTGTTACGGTAATATCGTCCCGCCACCTTCTAGACATAGGTGGAGGAAGAGATAACATTGCACATAAAACATCTTCAGCTGCACCACCAAGAGCGTTACGTATCAAATGTGTAGACGCATTTTCATCGACAAATGAGAATTCTTTTTGTTGTTTTGAACCATTAACATTCAAATCTTTTTGTACGGTAGTTAACTCTCTACCATTTTTTCCATTTCGTCTTCCGTCAATTAAAAGTCCAACAAGTTCTATAACCTCCGCATTTGATAATCGATCCCATAGACCATCCGTTGCCAAAACCAAAAATTTATCTTCCGGACTGATCTTATGGTGTGTAACTTCGGGCCTGGCTGTGACATACGGTGGGGTTTTATATCGGTCACCCCCAGGAACGCTACGTTTTTCATTGAAGAATTTAGAATAAATAATTTCTTGTAGAGCTTTATCCCATTTATATCTAATGAATGAGAATTAATTTATTTCATTTTAATGGTAAAAATGATAATCATTACCCATTACCGAATTCGTATGACTTACTTAGAATCGCCGAATGCCCGAGTTGGCTCCAGCCCCCCGAAAACCCGTCCTTTTGCAATAATATTGCTTTCACCCGGGTGCTCCTTATCTAATCTTTCTATTTCATGCTCATTTCTACCTGTTTGGTCTTCGCTTAAAGGTATTGGTTTCCATTCACCGGTTGTCGGATCTTTGACTCCAAGTACAGCTCTCGAATCTCCCGTGCAAGCGACATAAAGATCATTTGCAGCTGTATCAATATATGCAAGTATTGCACAAGATCCCGACAATGCCGATAATAGACTTTCATTAATATAAGAAATACCACCGGACTCATTTTGCGTATTTAATAATCTATCAATCGAATGAAAGACAATCTCTTCATCCAACTCAGTAAATGCTTTTTGAATAGCTTTTGAAACTAATTCTCTTTTATTTGAAATTAATTTTGAGTATTCACCATACCCATCATAAGCTTTATCAAGTTGTTCTTTAACATAAGGGATCAATTTCCTACTTAATAATTGTGATGTATTCCAACCAGCATGACCATCAAATACACCAAAAAATAAACGATCGCCACCATTTTTTGAACTTTGAGTAATTAATTCACATTTTGTATCCTCAATTGGATTATTAGATGCTAATTGATTTGTATCGTAACGATAAACTCCGTTGTTACGCTGGAGTAAGAATGATAATTGATTTTCTCGTAATCTTAATGTAGCCTCTCGTGGAGAAAGAATAATTTTATGATGTTGATTATTTGAATTGTCAATGGATTGATTCCCTTTTTTGTTTTGAAAATAATAATAAACTGATCCGCCGACCCCAGCAATCACTGCAGAACCAATAACATATCGAATTCCCTGACCATTTTGTGAAATATTATCGTTAGCTCTGCGAAATGTTGAAATAGATTTTATTTGGGAATAAGGTAATAAAATACGTGAATAATGCCAATTATTTGGCGAAAGGTTAGTTTTATGTGAAGTAAAACGCCAACTAGTACTTGATAATCTTTGAAAGAATTGTCGGTTTGTATTCATGGTTTAGCAGTAATAAATAAAGCTCAGATTTATCTGGCAAAAAAAAAAAAAAAAAAAAAGTTTTATTTATATCCATTTTCCCGGTTCCGATTGGTTGAAAAGTGTAATTGTTTTTTCTATGTTTGGGATATATGCATGCTAGATCAAGATGTAAATAATTTTTAAGAATTTTAGGTTGCTTGCTTTCGAACTAATGGACATTTCGTCATTACGAACATTGATCATTGACAATTATGATTCCTATACTTTTAACTTATTTCAGCTATGGGGTGACGAAAAAAGCGTCAAAAATGTAGTTGTGATCAGAAATGACCAGTTTTCTTGGTATGCTTTCCTGGTATACTCCATTATCAGTTTGTAGAAATTCAGTACTATTGTTATTAAATTTTTTATCATTTTTTAATATAGGACAAAGTTTAAGAACCATGTACTTCCTCATTTCGACAATATCATTATATCACCAGGACCAGGTAGTCCGAAGAATGCTTCTGTACGGAACTATTCAAAAAAGAATTTTTTTTTCTATTGAAAGAATTTATAATTTCTGTTTATAATTTCTAAAATTATCCGAAAATTTTAGGATTTTGGTATATGTACAAAAATCCTTGAATTAGATAATATTCCAATTCTAGGTGTATGCTTAGGACATCAAGGCATTGGCGTCGCTTTTGGTTCTGATGTGAGTTATTTTTTGATCAATAATAAAATATGGTTCCTTTGATATTATAAATCTGATTTTGTTCAATCCTTAGGTTGTAAATGCTAAAAGAATAATGCATGGAAGGTTAAGTCCTGTTTATCACGACGGAACGTATGATAACGCGTCTTTATTCCTAGGCATACCAAGTCCATTTTGTGCCGTCAGATATCATAGTTTGGTGGTCGATAATAATGGTATATAATCATTTATAATGCTGTTTCACATTAACAATTTGATTAATATTTTGCTATTCGTAGGTTTGTCGCAACAATTAAAAATTTCAGCTTGGTGTTCCGAAGACGACGATGATTTTCAAGAAGGGCTTCTCGACAATAAGCCACCTATTAAAGAATTGAGTACAATTATGGGCTTGAGACATTCGTCTAAACCAATTTTTGGCGTTCAGTTTCATCCAGAGGCATGGTTTGTTCAAAATTTTAATGATTGCTAATGGCAATACTTTTTTTCTTATTTTAATTGGTATTGCTCATTTTTTTTCTCACTAGTCTATTTGTACTGAATATGGAAATCGAATTCTGAGAAATTTTCAAGTTATTTCGCACGTATTTTTAAAAAAGGTAATATAATTTATTCGTTATTTTATTTAATAATTTTTTAGTAACTCGTATATACAATAATATAGCGAGGAGTTTTGTTTCCAAGACCTACACTTCCACCGTCTATTACGTCACTATCAGTAGTCCCCAGAAGTGTTTATATGCCTAAACCATCAATTTCGATTACTAGTCCTGGGCACATTCTCATCTTAAAGGAACTTGATAAAGATATTTGGGTTGAACCATCAATCGTCTTTAGTCGTATTGTTTCTGCTGATAAATCCATTACAGGAAAATGGTGGTTGGATAGCTCAAGGGTATTAAAATAAAATAAAAAATTAGTATGTACCGTACCGTTTCGAAATTAAGCACTACTAAGATTTTAAAATAAGCGCTCTCTAAATATAATCGTATAGAGTTTTTTCACTAAGTAAATCTACTTTTGACTTCTAAGTAAAGTTATTCTCCAGGTCGAGACAATTCTAATGATGGTAAACCCATCAATATTGGTCCAGTAGAACTCTCGCAGTTGTTCTTCAAAGCTCAGGCGAGTTACATATAAATTTCCCGATGGTATTTAACCGACATCACTCCGCGTGAAAATTCACTAACAAAATATAACTACAAATAATAAATTACGCTGCGTAATGTAGGTTAGATGACCTGTAAACAAATGTCGTCCGTCCGTACTTTGAAGAGTAGCTGTGAAAGTCCTACTGGACCGATTTTGATTATTTATCATCATTAGAATCGTCTTGACCTAAAGAATAGCTTTATTTAAGTCCAAAATAGATTTACTTAATAGAAATTATATATTTTAATTTTGAAAATTTATATCCAAAAATAAGCACCTTTACTAACAAAAAAAGGATGCTTATTTTCGGAACGGTACGGTATTTATTTGTTTATATTTATCATTAACAATTAATCATTACCATATTAGCAACCAGATCCGCAAAGTCGATTTTCGTATATGGGTTCGACACCATCCTTTTCAAATTCATTTTCTACATCATATTCTACACATAATAAAACATTATCGATCACATACTCAAATGGTACAGTAACATCGAAAAAACTCGCAGATGATCAAACATTTTGGGATTGGATGTCTGATATGATATCACATTTTAACCAGCATATTGCTGGATTACGGATATTGCAAAATGATGGAAGTCTTGAAAATATTAGACATAGATTACCTTTTGATTTTCGGTTGGGAATGGTGGGATACTTTGGTTATGAAATGAAATTAGAATCAATGCCTAACTGTTCTTTATCAAAAGAATCTTCGAATCATTCCTTTACATCTAATAGTCCAGATGCAGCGTTTATTTTCGCAACTCAGGCAATAATATTTGATCATGTTGAGAAACGGATGTGGGTTGCTGGGTTGGTACGACTTGATGACTGTGATGTTTCTGCTTCATTGAATCATGCAGATCTTGGTGAATTATGTAGAATTACTGGATTTTCGTGTTCAGATTTTTTATCATGGGTCGTGTCTACCGAAAAACAATTGCGTATCATCAATGCCAAACCTCCCGTAATATCAATTAATAACAATTATAAGCCTTCGTCTTCTACTACAATTCAACCTCCCTTTATTTCCGACATGACATCTGATTCCTACATAAAAGCAATCAAAAAGTCACTTCAATATATTTACGAAGGTCAATGCTATGAAATTTGTCTTACCACACAAATACGAACTTCATTAAAAAATAGACTCAATGATATTTGTGAACTTTATCAACGTATTAGATTGGATAATCCTGCACCATTTTCTGCATTTCTCCATTTTCCAACAGAAGATGTAGCAGTATTAAGCTCATCTCCTGAAAAATTTATTCAAATAAATAGCGATGGTATTGTAGAAATGAAACCAATTAAGGGCACTCTTGCGAGAGCGGAAGGTTGTTTTTGTTCAAAAAAGGAAGAATGTGATAATGGTCCGCGATGTGAAGAAATTAGAGAAAAAGAGGATATGAGGAGAAAACATGTTCTTGAAGGAGATTTAAAAGAACGTGCCGAGAATTTAATGGTTTGTTTAATTTATCATATATATATATATATAAGTTGCATCTCTATCACGTAATTTGTAACTAATTTATGCTGTTGAATGAATAATAGATCGTTGATTTGATCCGAAATGATTTGGCGCAAATATGTCCACCACATACTGTGGAAGTTCCTGATTTAATGAAAGTAGAATCTTATGAAACTGTTCATCAACTTGTGACCACTGTTCGCGGACAATTAAGTGACAAATTAGATTGTGTTAAGGCAGTGCAAAGTTGTTTTCCACCGGGTATGTTTGTTATATTGATTCATATTGAAATTCATTTATTAACATGTTAGCTAAATTTGAGACTTTAAACAGGATCCATGACTGGTGCACCTAAACTGCGTGCAATTCATCTTCTGAATGAATTGGAAAATAACTCTCCAAGAGGAGTTTATTCTGGTTGTTTGGGATATATATCTTTACAAGATGGGTACCAAAAAGACACTGCTCAATTTAACGTCATTATAAGAACTGTTGTTGTTTGTAATGGAACTGGTATGATCATGTAATAGTTATTTTCATTTTATAAGATTATATTTTCAGTGAAATTAATAATAAGTTATAAATCAGATTTATCCGTTGGAGCTGGTGGAGCGATTGTTCATCTTTCGAAACCAGAAACGGAATGGCAAGAAGTTGTACTAAAGTCGCAATCTGTTTTACCAAGGTAATAATTTGATAAATAAAAACTGCTTAAAATTTTTTTTTTGAAATTTAAGTTTAATTATTTTTAATTATCTTTTTTTCTTATAGCATTTTAGCATTTATTTCATAAAACATAAATTTCTAAAAAATCCGATATGAATAAACTATAGTATAGATAGACAAATATATAGACAAATATAAATATTTATTATAATCAAATAGTTTAAGCTAATATATTAATATTTTATAATTTAGTTATTTATCCATTTATAAATCAAAAATATCAAAAAAAATAATTTCATAAATAATTTAATTAGGCCATACAAACTTAATAAATTGGTTCTCATAACCCGGCCGGGTCAAAATTTGTAGACCCTTGAAGAAAAATTTTGACTATATTTTACTATCCGGGTTGGTTTTTTCAGAAACCTGTAAAAAAATTTTACATGTTTTTTATATATAAAATTTTTTGAAAATAAAATTAAAAGCCGGGTTGCCGGGTCATTTTTTACATTTTATGTTATGAGAACCAAACAATTAACTTTGTATGGCCTTAGTTAAAATTAGCCAAATTTTATATATAATAATTATATTTGCCTATCTATACTACAGTTTATCCCAGTATTTTAGAATAAAATAGTTTAAGGTTTAAAACAGATTAAATTTTATTTTCATTTTTTTTTTGTTTATAATCTATATATTATGTTTTTTATACAGTAGGAAATTGATATTTCCACATCCATATTGAATTCTGTCACACCATGCTATAATGTCGAATATTATTTTAAAAGATTTACCTACCTACCTAAGCGCGCAATTTTTCGGTCTCAAGAAAGTATATTTTTATGAATTTACTAAAGCTATGACAATTTTATAAACAGAGTATAAATGGCAGCTTAACACTATGATTTGAGATACGAAAGATGAATTTTTTGTATTTATATGAACCTTGAAATTTTATTGCTAAAAGGAAAAAGAGCAGGATTCGACATTATAGCTTTACTAAATTGCATGAATGGTATTTCAAAAAAATTTGATTCTATATATAACTTTTAATCTTCAAATCTTATTTTAACTTCTAATTTTAATTCTAAATTTAAAAATGCAGTAATACTATCGTCATAAAAAAATGTATATACTATATACTGTATACTGTATATTTGGTATTTAAAAAATTATATACAGTATATAAAAAAAAATTATACTCAAGGAAACATGTTCTAATGTTATTTATCTTTTAAATAATATAGCAATTAATGAACGATGATTCTAATTGTAATACATGATCACTATAATATATAGCTACATTTTAAACAATGAAAATAAAAAGAACATGAAAACAATAACAATAAATGATAAAATATTAGATAATAATAATAATCCTAATGCAATTTATGTTTTCTCCAAATAAATAAATCCGAAAGATCAAGTTCTCGAAAGTCAATGACCGTATCTTGCTTATTGATATCTTCGTTACCATATAGTGAAGAATAATAATAATTAGGATGTCTAATATATTCTTCATCGGTCTGCCAATATGTTCCATCAACAGTAGCATCAATACCATTATGTGTTAAAGCATCATCATTTAAGTATAACGCGGAAGTTTCAGAATAAGATGTCGAAAGCATATGATCGTTGAGGGAAAGTGAAGGGTATCGATTTGGAGAACCCATCAAGGAACAATTCATTTCTGTAGCATTAAGAAAATCCATAGTACGTACACTACCGTTTGGAGATTGTGAAATTTTATTTTTAAGAGGTGATTCTGATATCCATGTTTTCTGATGTGTAGGTTTATTGTTGATAGAATCATCTAAAGTTGTTCCCTGTTCATTTAATACCCATTTTACAGCAGCCGAAGGAACACCTATAGTAGTGACCGCTGGTTTTTGTGATGCACAATATGACGATACAGCTTGTGATATAGATGAATATTTTTTATTTGTATCGCCCATAGAAAACTTATAATAATCACTTGATTGTTTGCTAATTTTAGGAAACTCGGTACATTCAAAGTCATCTTTAATATCTTTAATATTTTTAATATCTTTAATATTATTAGATATCCCAGATTCCCGAAATGTGCAAGAATGTTCGTTAGCAGGGCCCGTATTTGAATGCAAAGAATTAAGAGCATCATCTATAGATGAAATTGTTTTATCATCATCCTCTTTATCTTGATCTTGATCTTGAAGAATCGTATCCTTTTGCGTATCTTGATCTTGAAGAATCGTATCCTTTTGCGTATCTTTATCTTGAAGAATTGTATCCTTTTGTGTATCTTGATTACAGTTATTACAATCCTGGACTGAATTTTTTGGTAAACCATCATCCGACAAGTTCGTTACAAAATAAGGAGATTCGGTAGGATAAGTGTGATCATTTGAATTGCTATGAGGAAGTGGTGCATCGTGAGATAAATCTACAAGTGATACTAATTGAGATATATCATCTGCATGACTATGATTATTATCAGGTAATGAATGATCATTATTTTGTGACAATTCATTTTCATTGAATGAATTATCTATGCTTTGAATTTGAGCAGAATTAATTGAATCAACAATGGAAATATGATTCAACGATGGCAAACTATCATCTGAAAGTAGATCATCATCTTTATCCTGAGATTGTAAAATCTTGTCAACTTTACGACGAACTCTTCGTGTAGTGGTTAGACGATTAGAATCTTTAGAATGTGTATTGTCACTTTGATCACGACCACGTTTCTTTATATTGTCATTTTGATCACAGGCACTTTTCTTTGACGACCTCGAATTGAGGAAATCAACTTCAGAAAATACCAGATCAGGAACTTTGAAATAGTTTTTGTCAATGTCTAATATTAATAAATGAAAAAAAAAAAAAACGCTTAACTATGATACAGTTTTTTTTTACCTCCTTTGGTTGTAACTTTTTCCGATGCCTTTCCTTTATTGAAAATACCCGGCTTCGAATCCGAACGAAGCTGTTTAAATAATAGGATTAACACGAAAAAAATCAAAATAAGAATATTAATGATTATTATAATTAAAATTATGCTTACTCACCGTAACACGTCTTGTGCCAAGGTTGCGAGAAGAAAAGTTCTATAGTGTTTATTAATTTTAAGTAAAATATCAAAGAATACCTTGTTGGGAATGGAAAAGCGTATACCTGCATAATTTGAGAACTTGCAAGTAAAGACTTAGTTTTTCTATGATTACTCTTCTTATTTAGCTTATTATTTGTTGAACTGGAATTTTTTTTATCAGTCATTTTAAAAGTTTGTTGTTGTTCTACGTAATCTTGGATAAATTGTTTCTTTAAGATCATTAAATCATCAAAAGAGTTTAAATGTTTTTCTAAAGCTTCTTGTGTCAGTTGATGCATCATTACGCGGCAAGTTAAAAGTTTGCAAAACGCGTGTTTTTAATGTTCTTTATATTCACGTGATTACGTACTCACAATTACTGATAGGATAGTATCGGTATTTTGTAAGAGACATTCATAGAAATAGACATTCATAGATATGGACATTCATAGATATGGGTGAGAAAAGGAACCGAATTGACAATTTTTCAAAAAATTTTTTACATCTTTTAGTTAAGGAACAAATGCTATTACAGTATAACTCGATATAACGAACACACATTTATAACGAAGGTCATCTTTAGCCTTTATGTTCAAATAAGCCTCAACGAAACTACGTACCGGTATTATGTAGTAATTTAAATATAACTAATAAATGACCCGGCCGGCCGTCTTTTTTTTAAAATTTTATATATAAAATTTCATAAAATTTTTTAAAAATTTTTTTTGAAACCCCACCCGGCTACATATAAAAAAATTTTCTTCAAAGTTTTCAAAATTTGACCCGGCCGGGTTATGAGAAACAATTAATTAAATTTGTATAGCCTAATAAGCCGACCCTTTTATTATAATATATTTTTTGCAAAACTTTTATTAATTTAGACAATAATAGATAAGAAACAGTAAACGCAAATTATTTTTCAAATATTAGTTTTATTCAAAGTATTTATTAAAACTAACGCTAAGAATACCAAATTTTTAAAATTTTTAATCACATGCAATTCCCAACATTCAATGATATCAACATTCAATGAATGGAAAATAAAACATAAAAGCAATAAGAAAAAAAATTTTCAAAGATTCTTAACTTGCAAACCCTATCGCTATTATAGTATAAAGCAAGAATCCAGATATTACTGCTATGTAATACTATGAAATAAAGCATATGAATTGTCATTTGCATTATCAGACTAAATTATTTTACAAAGTAAGAAATTTTTTTTGATTTTTTTTTTTCTTTTTTTTTTTTTTTTTTGCTACATATAATATATATATATATTATTTTTATTTCCACAAGCCGTGGAACGCCGGTTCGGTGGGTATGATACCCTTTTGTAGGTGTAATTCTTCAAAGATACTTTGTTCATCGAATGGAGCCATGGATTTCAATTCCAAGTCAGCAAATTCTAGTTAAAAAAAATAAAATAAAATAAAAAATAAAGTTAGTTTTAGTTAGTATTAAAATAAAGATAAATAACAAATAAATAAAGTTTAGTTAAATAAAGATTAGTTACCTTCAAGTTCACCACCGACTTCTTGGCCTAACTCATCTACTATGTCATTTCTGGCACCGACAAGTAATACTTCAGCACCCTTATAATCTAAGAAATTAGTTGTTGGAGGCGAAATAAATCGTCTACCACGGAAATGATCCATGAGATGTTCAGGGAATTTGACTTTCTCATCTTCTGGTAGGCCAGTATTTCGCGGATTGGCAACATCAGGATTTTTGACGGTTAGAGCATAAGAACCCTTTTTACCAACATTAAAGTCAAGTTGAAGTTGGAAAGGATCCTCTGGAACTTCCAATACGTATGCCAAGTGTGCTCTGTTATTGTGATTTACGATGTAATAGACACCTCGTCCCTATTAATATAATAATAGGGTTAGTATATATATATATATGTATATATATTAAGACATTAAATTATAATTTGATTGCAAACCAAGAGTCTGTATTGTACCGAAGGGTCGGAAGGATCAAAGAATTTTTTAATATCGTCCAATTCATTGAACGATTGATCCTTTAAAGGTTCAAAAATAGATATATTTATGTATATTAGCAATATAAATGGAAGCAGGTAATTTTAAAACTGGTAATTGTAGAATAGAAATTAGTAACTTACAACAAATCCCCAAAAACAGTCATGTTTATTAATTTCGGGTAACTTTTTCTTTCCGACAATAATTACACGGGTTTTGCCAATTGATTGTTTATCAGCATCGGTCTCAAGTTTACCGGTTGAAAGTTTTTGGGCAAAACTAGAAACCGGTTCTTGTTCAAGAGAAGGACGAATGAGGTTAGGTATAAGAACCATGTACATTCGTTGCACATCATCGATAGAATTTGGTTTATCTACGCCAAGCTAAACAAGAAATAAAAAGAAATAAAAGAAATAAAAGAAATAAAAGAAATAAGTATCACGTGAATAGTATTGAGGCACGTGACTGTGGATAATATACCTTTGGCTTGTATAGGAATAAGACATGACCCGTTTCAAGGGTATTAACGGGAATTTTCGTTGCGAGTTCATGCTTTATTTCAGTATCGATATCGATATCGATAGATTGACTTTGAACCGGTTCAGGTTCAGGTTCTTGAGAAATTTGAGAGGTTAGATTGCCATTGCCATTATTCTTGTGTTCTCCATTTTCGTGGTGTTCTCCATTTTCGTAATGATCATCAATCGTATCAGGTTCCTTTTCAGTCATTTCTTGATCATGGTCATGATGACTTTCTTGTAAGTCATGAACAACGGAATTGCCATTATGATCAACTATATTGCCATTGTGCTGATGGTCTTCTTGGTCATCTGTCTTTCTTTTTTTATCCGGAGGAGTTTCAGAATCATCAACATTATTATTTACGCCGTTATCTTGAGAAATTGTTTCTTCAGTGGTAAGATTATTTTGTTCTTGTTCTTCTTCAGGATTATTGGAATCATTCTTGCGTTTACGTGAACCGATAGTAGCGTCTTTAGCAATTTTTGCTGAAGCAACAGTCGAAGCCTTCCTTGTTTGTGGCATTATTATTATTGGTAATTGAAAGGTAATTGAGAGGGAAAAAAAAAAAAAAAAAAAAGAAAAAAAAAGAATTGAGGAATTGAGGAATTGAGGAATTGAGAAATTTAGTAAAAAAAAAATATGAATTTATTATTGGATGACAAGAAAAAAAAAATTTGAACGAAAGGTGGGAATGAATGTGAATTTATAGAGATCCAGGGCAATGTTGTCATTATTTTGATGGAATCATTTATGGAAGTATGAAATGATCCCACGAACAACATGCCCCGACTTGACGGAAAAAAATGCAGTTACTGATTTAGTAAAGTGACACGCGACTAATATAAAATCTACATTGGTTTATTTTAGGAAGATAAAAGGGGCTTGTGGGAAAAAGTGTGGGACCTGGAATCGGTAACCAAGTTCCAATAAGCATAATATAAAAATGGAATTAAAGCTTTGATCAATTTCCTTTTTCATTTTTGCACATTCGTGTGGCAAAAATTTTTTTGTAACTGTTTGTTTCGGAAAATGAATTGAGTTGATTGTATTGATTTGATTGGTTTATCGGTTAAATAATTACTACAACAACTACTACTATTGATCTTCTACACAATTTCGATTAACGTGATTGTCGGAAATTCTGTTTATGTAAACTGTTGTAAATATATAGTTAATAAATATAATTATATAATACAGTAATAGTTAGTAATAGTTGCAAGTTATTGAAATTAACTTTTAACTGTCTACATTATATTCTACATCTCTACATGTTTTATTACTATAAATAATTTATAGTTTAGGGTAGATTATGGACCCCGACCATTGCCAATTGTCACTATATACACGTGTTTACTATCCTAGTGAAGATTGTACACATAATGCCTGACCAAGTTCATATATGGCTAAATAATTTAAATACTGATATATACATAGATATAATTATTTTAATTATATTAATTATATATATATATATATTTAATTATATTAATTATATATATATATATATATATATATATACGTATTAATTATATATATATAATTATATATATATACGCAATTGATGTTTTAGATTTTTAGTATGGTATTCGTGCATATACGTATTTTTGTACAACCGATACAACCAATACTATTTGATCTTATTGTGTCGTAATTTTATTTAAGGCTATTTAAAGTTAATTCTTTAGTTCTTTTCATACGTATAAAATTATAAATGTGACCCGGATACCCGGCTTTTTATTTTAAACTATAAAATAAATTTTCATCTAATCTTCTCTCTAGAAAAAATTCTCATATAAAAGATCTACAATTTACGTGGCTTGTATACAAATAAATATTCGTACAGTGCATAGAATTTGATAAGTATATATTTTATATTTGCTGTATATATATACACATATATCGATATATATACGTATATATATTTATTATTTAAATTTATTTATACGTACTGTATTTATATATTAAAAGCCGATATAAAATAATTTTTCGCTAGTAAATTTTTTCATTGTCATACGAATGTGCATATATATCGATATGGTAAATTTGGCTATATTTGGTTAAATGGTTTCGGTTACAAATTTATACGTATATTTACTATATATATAGCAAATCGGTAATTGTTCGAAACGGAGCGAAGAACCTATATTTCTATTCCAAACTATGCAGTGCCCGTTAGCAATGCCCAATCAAACTTTTAGATTTAAATTTATATCAAATGCTTATCAGATTCTAATAATTTAAAAATACAATTAAAATATGCATGTATACTATAAATTTTTTTTTACTTCGATATATGTTGTGTTCAAATTACAAACAGTTTCAATTGTTCTTCGAGACTATCTAGATAATAATTTGTTAAATTTTTATTTAAATGCTTAGCTAAATTATTATTTAAAACAAATTGACATCTGGTCACAACATACATATACGTACGTACGTATATTGTTTGTATCAAAAAATTATTACCTATAGGGTATAATACCCGATATAATGTTTGTATATTATTAATTAAAGTTAGGGTTAGATTTGAAATATATATGTTGTACCTCAGATCGATTTTTGCCTCAGGTAATAACTGAGGCACCTCAGGTATTGATTGTTTGGCCGGCATTAACTGATCAACATTAATTGCCTAAACTATAGTCTAATTCTTACCCTAACTCTAACTCTAATTCAGGCCAATCAACACCTGAGGCAAGAATTGATCTGAAGCACAAATGTATAATTATATATAAAATTAAATATTAATTAATTTTACTTAAAATATTTATATATAGTTTTTTTAATAAAATTTTAAAATAATAATTTTTAATTTGTTTGTTATATTAAGTATTACAGTATATTTATTTGGTTTAATCTACAAATAAATTAGTTTAAGTTTTTTTTTTCTTTTTTTTTTTTAATGTTAAGATGATCTTTTTGCTACACTGCTCTTTATTTGAATATTAGTAGTATTTTTAACCATCTGACATATCTGATGGCTGTACATATTTGTAAAGTATAACTAGTCATACCTGCACCTTTTGAGTATCTATTTAAGTAGTCTGCCTATTATTAGGTTCTATACTAGATGCTATACCTGTACCCCACTAAAGGAATTACCCATTTAAACCCTCTATATCTTTGTACCAACCCTTTTATATCCAAGCAATGATACTTAGTATCATTTTATTTTTACATGTTGGTTTAGAGCTTTAAAGTAGTCTTAATCATTTTAAAAAGTCTTTTGCTCTCAAGGTAAACCTACTAGAGTCTTCTATACTATTATAGTATCATGGCTTTATTAATAGCAGTGCTATAATAATAACACAGCTACAGGAATCCTTCACAGGTTTATAGTAGTGTTTAACAAGTAAATATAATTTCTGCTTCTTGGAAAAATTATACCTTTCTGTGTGTAGCAGTTTAGGCAGACAATAGTTTATAGATAAAATATATGTTTATTAAAAATAAATAAGATAGACTATTCTTAGGTTTCTATTCTTAAAGAATCCTATAATATTACAAAAGAGAATTTAGAGAAGAGAGAAGTTTATATCTAAGGTGGACAATAAACAGATCTAATATTAACTTAGTGAAATTTATAGCCTTTTTATATCTTTAGAATAATTGCAGCTAAGCATAGTTTACTTAGTATTAAATGCTAATTATAATTGCTAAACATTAAGCATTAAGCGTTAATTATTAATCACTAATCATTAATTGCTAATTGCTAAACATAATTGCTAAGCATAATCACTAATCACTAATCACTAAGTATAATTGCTAATTATTAATCATTAAATATTAAATATTAAGGCTAATCATTATATATGTCTTTTAAATTTTTCTCTAAGATAAATATAATAATAACTAATAACTAATAAAATACAAATATTGAAATAAAGGATATAGTAACTTAGTGAAGTGATTAAGTTATTATACTCCTAAGTGATATATTGGCAGATTGAAGATTTGAAACTTATCAATATCAAAAATTCGAATATTTATTTGTACAATAGATACTATCTTTCGATAATCGATTAAAACAGGATCTCTGTAACTTTGGTACTATCAACAAGATTGAAAAATTATAGAGTATTTGTGTAATGCATAAGTTATATAAAGGCATACAAGCCAATATTAGTTGGTACAAACCCAAGATAAGACCTTATGTTTATATAAATCCAAAGAATCAGAAAGATAGATACCTACTTGGTAAGACCCAAGTAGAGAAGTAGCATAAACCTTTAACAGTGACTACTGGAATAGGGACGTCCATAATTTATGTAAACTCGATACTGTATACTATTATATACCAAATATAGTAAAATAATAAGAAATACGTACAAAAATAAAGGATAAAAGTATATCTTCTATAGTCGAAATACATACATAGCAATACGTACGTACTATATAGTAAAAAAAAAAAATATTACGTATGTCAAACGGGTATAAAATAAATAAATAAATATTTTGGTTTAGTTATATAATCAAGATCGTCTAATTGCAATTGCGTTGAGTCTAAGATCCAATGAAGCCGTCGAGATTGGAATAAATAAGGTCAGATTAGAACAGCACGTTAATTTCTTTAGACATAATAGGTGAAAAACCTTGGCGAATGCAAGAACACCCATTAGCTTCTTTAATTTCTTAAAGCAAAACATTAGTTAACCCATTTTGCACCACACAGACTTCTTTAGATCTAGTTAGAAAATACCGGAACATACAGACTCTAGAGCTGTGTTGTTGGAACTTTTAGTTCAATTGACGATACTGACTGAAAGATACTTTGAAGTAAAGGAACAGTTTTTATGTGCCTGTTTTTAGCCTAAATGACCATTGATTTAGTTAATTACTTATATAATGCATTATTTTAGCTTCTGAAGGAATGAATACAGTCAGAACTCCGTAAATGCACTGCCGTCGGGACCATAGAAAAAAATTTTGAAATAGTACACTTAGGCAGTATGTGCATTTATAGAGTAGAAATGATATATAGCTCTTATGGGTTGGGATCAGGCTATACCGTGCATTTATAGAGTTCTGACTAAATATATTTTGTAAGAATCAACACTGATTTCTTTGTACCTTAAATAGCTTAATAGTAATAATCTTGGATTAAAGAAGAAAAAGCGTTAGCAGGTATGTGTTGCAAGATCGGAATTAAGCAATATGAGAGTTTTTACTTAGTCTGTGCATTTATGGAGTTCTGACTAAATATATTTTGTAAAAATCAACTCTAATTTCTTTGTACCGTATACCGGCGAAATAATGCACCCCTGCGCGTTAATTTATTCACCTGTGCGTTATTTTGGGACGCCCATGTGCGATATTTCGAAATAGAATGTTGATTTTTCAAAATAGGCAGTTTCAAAATAACGTGCATAGTTAATTAAAATCAAAATTATATTAACGGTAAATAGGCTTTAAAATAAACAAGATTTATACAAGAAGTTATTGTGCAATTGTTAACCGGATTAGATGTATCTGCATAAAATAAGTAGA